AGCACCCCGCCGCACAGCCCCGCGGCCAGCAGGAGGGGCCGGCCCTGGTGAGTTCTTCGTGCCGCAGCCGGGGCGCCTGTCTGTCGTGATCACCGCCTCTAGACCGCGTGGTTAAATTCTTAGCGGTGGAGACCGGGAATTGGGCGCCAGGGGTTTCCGAGCCTGGGGGAAGGCTGCTCCCGAAAAATGGAGGGAACTGTGCTGCTTGCGAGGTATCCCGGCACTCTGAAGAGCTGGGGAAATCCTTAGGACCGCCCACTCTGCCTGGCCACTGCGGTGGAAAAAGGTGGGAGAGTCTGCTTTCCCTCCGGAGGCTGTGGGGATGGAGGAATAATTAAGTTGGGTCAGAATTTCCTAGCCTTTTGGATCTTTTGGTGTCAGTTATTCGCAAAACGTGGGCCCTTTTTCCTTTTAATTTTGACATTAAAGTTCAGATACAAATACGAAGTGCAACACTGGTAGATTGATTTGGATGTGTATGAATTTGGACGCACTTCGTATGTACGTTTAAACCTGTCTTCCAGAGGCTGAAGCAGGATTGCCCGGAGGTTGAGGCCAGGCTGGGTGGGCTACGAAGTGAGTTCATTGCCAGCAGTAGCAAGACCTCTGTCTCAATAATAAAACAAACTAGCATCATTTAAGTTCTAAGAGAATGACTTTTAACTTCAGCTTTTAGATTCTAATCAAGAAAATGATTTGCTATGGGAAGACACGTTACATGAAAGAACTGTTACTGAACTACCCCAGGTAATAATTTTTTAAATATCATTAGAATATATATTATTTATACTTCTCAGAAAAAATTTGCATGGAAAATAGTTTTACAAATTAGCTCGATAGTGATTCAGGATTAAAAAGATAGCATCAGCCAAGTAAAGGACCTGTAACACACCTATTACAGCCACCCACATAAAAACAAGCAGTAGTGGATGGGTTTAGTAAACGTGGCTGTCCTTTTTACACCATGCCCCACCACTCTGATCAGTTTTGAACACTCTTCCTTGGGTAGTGATTCTTCTACCTCCTCACTCAAAATCAACCCTCCAGGCTCAGCTACATTAACTTAGCCCTCTGCTAAATCTTTAAACCAGATCCCCAGATTACCACCACAGGTTGTGACATAGCACTGAACCTCATTGCTGCCTTTTCCTACACACGTACTCTTATTTCCGTTACTGAGTACTTCTATTATGTGGTTTGTAAATGCTTAATTTGTCCTAATGGGAACAGGCTAGAAGAAGAGTTCCCAAGACCCAGTCTTCCCTCTATAAATTAATGGCTTTTAAAAAACAAGGACCATTGGAGAATTTGGAAAGAATCTTGGTAATATGAAGAATATTGACTTGAAGAACAGCAACTTGGGTTCAGGATAAATGTTTTTTTTAAACAAAAACATTCATTGGTACATTTTAGGCGTACATAATTATAACATTCATCAAAGGGAAGCTGCTACCTGTACATGATACATCTGCCTCTTTTTTCCCATTTTTCCCCTCCCGTCCTTATGCACAAAAGCTTTGTTTCCAATTCAGGGTAAATTTTTTAGGTGAGGAACAATTGTTTGAATGTAGCCTTTTATGGATAGTAGCTACCTAAGTTGCTCACCCGAGGAACAGGTTAGATTATGTTTCAGAGGCTTAAAAGGTAATGTTTTGAGTATTGGTAGGATTTCTGCTTTTGATAGCAACATCTATAGTATCATAAAGAACTATTAAAACTACAAATTGAAATACACCACTCTTCTTCCACTACTTCCAACAGAAATTTTCATCTCAGAGGTATCTATTGTTAAGTTGAGCTACTTCCAGACTTTCTCAGTATATAGTTTTTTCTTTTTGTGGTGCTAGGGATTGCATCTAGGGCCTTGTGCATGTTTGGCAAGTGCTCTACCACTGAGCTGTAGTCTATTTTCTTGAAACTAATTTTTATGTTCTTTGTTTTCTAAAAGACTCCACATGTATCATTCTCTGAATCGGATACTCTGCTTCCAAAAAGTACCAAGTTACCTGTAGACTGGAGTATTAAAACTCGACTCCTTTTCACCTCTTCTCAACCCTTTACCTGGGCAGATCATTTGAAAGCACAGGAAGAGGCTCAAGGTCTTGTCCAGCATTGTAGGGCAACAGAAGTTACTTTGCCCCAAAGTATACAGGTAATTCTGAAATAAAGTGACTGTTTTAAAAGTAACAAGTATAGTTGACAAACTGATTTTTAGCTAAAAGGGCTATCCCAAACAAGCCTCAGCTAATGGTTATTAATGTATTTCCATAGAAAGAAGTTAAAGATTCTTAGACCTTATGTCTGGTGTTGTCAATGTCTATAATAAAATTATGTATTTTTCATGAATTCAAAACCACCTATTATCCCCTCTGGATTTTAGGATCCCAAACTCTCCACTGAGCTCCGTTGTGCCTTCCAGCAGAGCCTTGTCTATTGGCTACACCCTGCTTTGTCCTGGCTATCACTGTTTCCACGTATTGGAGCTGATAGGAAAATGGCTGGAAAGACAAGCCTTTGGTCAAGTGATGAAACCCTGCAACATGTATTAATGAGTGACTGGTAAGGTTAATAAAAAGTTTGATCCCCAGTACCACCCAAAAAAGTAGTAATAAAAAGATTTGTGCGATCCAGTGGTAAATTTTTATTTTAGTACTTTTGTTTTTGTCTTTTTGTTTGGTTTGGTTTTGGTTTTGGTTTCTTTTTGTTTTAGGGGGTGCATACCTGAAATCAAACTTGTTAAGGCAGGCATGACACTATTGAGCTAAATCCCGGCCCCTGGTTTGTTTTTTTGAAACAACGTCTTGTTACATAGCCCAAGCTGGCCTCAAACTCAGGGCAGTCCTGCCTTAGCTTCCCGCAGTTATAGGTGTGTGCCACCACACCTAGTTTCTTACTGTGTTTGTGGCATGGAAATGTAAAGAGAAGCATCTTTCTATCCCAGATTTTATCAGAAAATGTAAATAATGAACATTTAAGCTGCTTGTGTGTTTTTTAAGCTCTCATCACTATCACAATATAGAATATATATGTGTTAGATTAACATAAATAGGCAGGTATAATCCTTTAATGTTCTTGTCAGTGACTGCATCCATTTATGTCAGAAGTTGTTCAGACAAAGCAACCAGTTATCAAGTTTTGTTGAAAGAAAAAATGGTTAATTTTAAATGCTTAAGTTAAAAATACTGAGAAGTCATCAGTGAGTCCACATTATAGTTTCAGTCCTTTATAGCCAAATCATACATAACTGCAAAAATTTAAACCAGTGTCTATAGAGTATGTTGTGGGGTTTAAACATTGAGCTAAATATTTAATACCTAACGAAAATTCTTTTGCTTCACAGGTCTATGAGCTTTACTTCTTTGTATAATCTGCTGAAGTCAAAACTTTGCCCCTATTTCTACGTTTGCACATATCAGTTTACTGTCCTGTTTCGTGCAGCAGGATTAGCAGGAAGTGATGTGATCACAGCTCTCTTATCTCCCACAACTAGAGGTTTAAGGGAAGCTATGAAAAATGAAGGTAAAAGTTTAGGATTAAAGTGATGATACTATAATTTATTTATGAAATGTCTGCCATAAAAGCTAAACTTTGTATTGTCTTTTAACTGTATTTTTTCAGAAGTGTAGTTTCTCTTCATTTGTTCTTTCTGCATTTGGTTAAATTATCCCTTACTTGTAGCTTTAAATGAATGGTGTTCCTATCTCTGATCTCTGAAGTAAGACACACATAATGGACTGGAGAGTCACTATTTTAGTATACTCTCTAGAAAGTCTTTTCTAGAACAAATTACCTAACTCCTGAATAATGTGATTTTCAAAATAGGTCAGCTGATCATGAAATCTGTGTAGTGAACCCAACCGCACATTTTCAGAAAGTAAACTAAAATACAATGTAATTTATGAAAAAGTATCCCATGTATCAGTATCCCTGTTTCCTTAAGTGTTTGATGGAAAGAGGTATGTGAACATGTTGATGTGTGTTGTGGGCCACACTCAAGAAAAACTTGGAGACTATTACCTTAATAAATGAAGTATAAAACTTTAAATTTCAAATCTAATATACTCTGTACCAGTGATGATGAACCTTTTAGAGCTTTCAGTGTTAACAGCCTGATGTGGCATGCATGCCATAGGTTTGCCACCATTGTTTTATACTCTGTAAGTAGGGAACTCTTGTTAAATACTGTTAAAGTACACTGAGTTATGTGTTTATGTTCTTATGTAGGTATTGAATTTTCTCTGCCTTTAATAGAAGAAAATAGCCATAAGAAGAAAGCGTATGGAACAAGCCTGGGACATGGGGAGTATGTGATTAAAAGAACCTTTATACCCAGTGACTTAGGATTCAGTAAAATTAATTTGTAAAAGTGCCAGCTTTGTGAAGTGGGAATTCTAACTATAGCAATTTCCTAGGCAGCAAGCAATCAGTGATGAAGATGAAGAGGAAAGTTTTTCTTGGTTGGAAGAGATGGGTGTGCATGATAAAATTAAAAAGCCAGATATACTCTCTATCAAGCTGTATCCTTTCAGTTATTACTAAGAATTTTCATTGAATTAAGTTAATGAATAATTTTTAATTTGTGGTTTTTAATGACTATAATTTTAAATTATTTTCAATTCCTCTTCAAACTAATTGTCCATTATGATATTAAATAACAACCCCTAAACAGAAATAAACCATAAACTCTTAAAACTATTTTTAAGTAAAAACAGTCCATGTTGATTAAGTTTGTAGGAGGGAAGCGGTTTATTTTGTGTTTTTATTGGAATCATCTCCACACACACCAGGGATTAAACTCAGAACCTTGTGCTTGCCAGGCAGGTGCAGTGGCACTGAACTACATCCCTGGCTCTTGCATACATTTTAGATACATGTAATGTTACATTCTTCATAGGGAATTTGCACCTGTCCATGATATAACTTGCTTTTTTCCCAGCTCCCTCTCCTCCCTTCAACTCCTCTTCCCCTCCTTATTTACAAAAGCTCCTTTCCATTTTTTCTCATTTTCTTGTTGCTTCCTTCTTTCCCCCTTCCCCACCTCCCTTGTTCCCCTTCACACTTGAATATTTGGGCAGAAGTTTTTGACTGGATTTTATTGTCAGTTTCTAACAAACTTAACATTTTCATTCAAACAATACTTAGGAATGTTTTGGAAAAGAAGGGTTCTAGGTGATTCATAATCAAGATCATGCCCTCTTGGTTTGGGATTTGCAAAAATTTCCTTGATTGTCTTCTTCAGGCGTAAAGAGAAACATGAAGTACAAATGGATCACAGACCTGAGTCTGTTCTTTTGGTGAAAGGAACCAACACATTTACATTGCTCAACTTTTTGATCAACTGCAAAAGTTTAGTTGCTACCTCAGGTCCACAGGCAGGACTTCCACCAACCCTTTTATCGCCAATAGCATTCCGAGGTGCCACAATGCAAATACTTAAGGTAGTTAAAAGAAAACCTACACTTCACCAATCCTTAAAACAGCTTTATAAAGATCCTTTTTTTCTTCTTCTTCTTCTCTTCCTGAGACAGGGTCTCTACATGTAGTTCATATTGGCTTTGAACTCACAGGCTGGCCTCAAACTTGGTGGTGATCCACCTGCCTCAGACTCCCGACTGCTGGGATTACAACCATGTGCCACCATGCCTGGCTAAAAGTACTGTTTTTTAAATAGATTGTTTTTGGAAAATAACTCCTATCCTTTTATACTTCGTATGTTTTCATTTTACTTTCCTCGCAGTTTAAAAAAAATCCTTGCTGTGACAATTAGGTTAAATTATATGAAAATATATTATGAAATTTGTTTTACTTGAATATATGAAGTTTTTTCTTACACAACAAAATGTAACTGGCAACTAAAGCATTTAATTTCCTTGACAAATTAAATGTTTCCTTCAGTCACTAGTTCAAGGAAGTAGCCAAGGATGTTATAGATTTCAAACACTGGATCATTAATAAGTGAAAAGACTATATATAGTTCAAACAGTTATATATATGCTAAATGTTGATAGCAATAAATATCCCATCAATGTCCCATATCAACAGCTTATTAAATCAGAAATGATAGATGAAAATATAATACTCTATACATTAAGTGTAAAATCTCAATGCAGGCGCTGGAGATGCTTAGAATCTACTAAACATTTCTGCTCATGTTGATATTGTAGAAACTACTTGTTACTTTTGTTCCATTAACAAAAATCCCAAATGAAAATATTGAACTTTTTGTTACTTAGGGAGTGAACCCAGGGAGAGAGCTGAGCTGTATCATACCCAGTCCTTTTTATTTTACGAGTCTTAAATTACTCAGGCTAGCCTTGAACATGTATTCCTTCTGTCTCAGGAGCTAAGATTATAGGCATTCATCAGGCAGCTTACAGGCCTGTGATCCCTTGTCTGGCTTTGGAACACATTTTAGCTATGAGACAAAAGCTTGAGAGAACAGTAATGGCATTTTTTTTTTTTTTTTTTTTTTTTTTATTTT